TATACAAGAAACCTAGAAAGATGAAAATGGAAAGTATACAATTACAGGATACATGAATATATGTAATATTGGTGTATGAATGCTAGAGGGAAAGTTGCTGATATGATCTCCATATGTTCTGCATTCTCCAACGGTTGTCAATTTGATGATGACTTTCCATATTGGTTGCTTTGCTGATTGGTGACTTCTTCTGTTGTTGCTCCATGCTCCAAACTCGTCTCTAGCTCATTTAGTCCGCTAACATTCCCCCTCAAGATTTGTCGGGAAAAATCGGAAAGACCAATCTTGCAAAGAGTTTTGTTAAGGACAAATGAACTAGTAGCCTTTGTGAGAATATCTGCCAATTGATCTTGGCTCCGCGTATACATCGTGGAAATTACCCCTTGTGTGATCTTCTCCCGTATGAAGTGACAGTCCACTTCAATGTGTTTAGTCCTCTCATGGAAGACCGAGTTTGCCGCAATATGTAGTACCGCTTGATTGTCGCAATGAAGTGAAATTGGTTTAGTCATCTTGATTCCAAGGTCTTCTAGTAATTGTTTTAACCACACGAGCTCACTAGCGGTGTTGGCCATTGCTCGATATTCCGCTTCTGCGCTTGATCTTGACACAACATTATGTTTTTTGCTCTTCCATGTGACCAAGTTACCACCCACGAATGTGCAGTAGCCCATGGTTGATTTTCTGTCTGTTCTATCTCCTGCCCAATCTGCATCGCAATATGCCACGATATCGGTATTGTTGTTCCGCTTCATCCACAATCCTTTGTTAGGCGTTCCTTTGAGATATTTGAGTATTCGGTCCACCATCTGCCAATGAGTTGTTGTTGGCGCGTGCATCCATTGACTAACCTGATGCACCGCAAAACTTAAATCAGGACGAGTAATCGTAAGATATATAAGCTTACCGACAACGCGACGATATTGCTCAGAATTCTCTAGTAATTCCCCCTCGCGTTGATCTTTGAAATGTTCCTCGATTGGCGTTCGAACCGGTTTGGTGCCAAGTTTGCCTGTCTCCCGAAGTAAATCAAGGGTATATTTACGTTGTGACAAAAACAAATCATCCGAAAAATGACTAACTTCAATGCCAAGAAAATAACGCAGAGAACCAAGATCTTTGATGTCAAAGACTTGTTGTAAATACTCCTTTGTATCACGAATACCAGATTTATCGCTCCCAATGATGATAATATCGTCAACATAAATTAAGAGAACGGTTATACCATGATCAGTGAAGAGCGTAAACAAAGAGTGATCGGAGTGACTACGCTTGAATCCCTTGGCACAAAGTGCATTGTGTAATTTGGTATACCGGGCACGAGGTGATTGTTTCAAACCGTAAATTGACTTCTTGAGCCGACAAACTTGACGAGAATCAGTGAGTGCCATATATCCCGGTGGTGGCTTCATAAAAATCTCTTCATCCAAATCACCTTGAAGAAACGCATTTTTGACATCCATCTGCCAAAGCGACCAAGACAAATTAGCAGCAAGTGAAATAATAACACGAACAGTGGGAAGTTTAGCAACATGGGCAAAGGTTTCAGTGTAATCTTCCCCGTAAGTTTGAGAGAATCCTTGGGCAACGAGACGGGCTTTATAACATTCAATAGTGTCGTCACTGTGATATTTGATTTTGTACACCCATTTACACCCGAGGGCCTTGCGGTTTGGAGGGAGATCTGTGATTTCCCACGTTCCATTTCGTTCCATGGCCTGAAGTTCTTCTTGCATGGCTTGTTCCCAAACATGATTATTCTTTGCTTGATGATAGAACTGAGGTTCAACTCCCTGCTCAATAATGCTTAAGAAACATTTTTCATTAGGTGGATAGTTATGCAAAGAGGAAAAATCAGAAATTGGATAAAGAACCGTAGGAGGCTGCAGAGGCAACGATGGTTGATCCCTATCGGAGAGAACCAAGGGTCGATGTAGGGAAGATGATGACTGGTCCGAATTAAGTGCAGAGGAAGAGTTTCCAGTACAGAGATCTTCATCAGGGGATGTCGCCAATGCAGAAGACAACGCAGAAGATGCTTCTGCGCTTGAGTCGCATCGAGAGCCACCTGTAGAGGGAAAAATGAAGTTCGTGGAAGATAGAACCTGGGATACAGAAGCCTGAGCAGCAGAATCCTTGAGTTTCCAGGTTGGGCGACGTTCTCTAGTGCTCCGCCGAAACTGGGCTGGACAGATGGGAGTTGGTGCTTCGTCAGGGACAGAGGCAAGAGAGTTTTCCTTAGACTGATCGCAATCGATGGCAAAAACAGAGGTCGGAGATGACTGTCGTGGTGCGTCTTGCGAAGGTTCCCCTTGGGAATTACGATAGGTAATTGGAGATGGTCCAATTGCATCCTGGACCAGTCTAATGGTTAGGGAGCTGAATTTTCAATCAAAGGTAAAGATGGAGTAGAAGCAGAATTATCAGAGAGGGATGGTAAAGGATGAGAAACTTCCTGTCGACAAAGAGGATTGAGTGGCTCGTGATGAAGAAGTGGTTCCTCTGAAGATTCAGATGGGTAGGACAGATCCTGCGAAACAGAGCCTAGACTTTTGTATGTGGTTAGTAAATGATCTAGTGCAGTGGGATAATCGTGTCCAGGCTGAACCAAAGAATCAAGGCTGTTCCAACTTTTAGTTTCAAAGTAACAGAGGTGTTCATAAAAAATTACATCACACGAAGTATGAATGCGTTTAGTGCGGGGATTGTAACAATAATACCCTTTTTGATCTGTCGGGTAGCCCACAAAGATGCACCGTAGGCTCTTCGGTTCAAGCTTGTTTCACTCCCCATCTGGAACTTTAACATAACATACACAACCAAAGACTTTTAGATGTTCAATGGAGCTTTGTTTACGGTACAATACCTCATAGGGGGTTTTATCCCGAAGGATCTGGGTAGGTAAGCGGTTGATCAAATAACAAGCCATTTTTACCGCATCGCTCCAAAAGGCTTTCGAAACTTTTCGATGAAACAACAAGGTGCGAGCAACCTCCATCAAATGTCGGTTTTTACGTTCGGCAACTCCGTTTTGTTGAGGCGTGTGAGGACACGACCGTTGATGAATAATGCCCCGTTGTTGAAGAAATTTGGTAAACTTGTGGCTTGTATATTCGCCGCCATTATCTGTACGTAAACATTTAATAGGAACCCCAAACTGAGTTGATACATATGCATGGAATTGAACAAAAGAATCATACACATCATTCTTCTGTTTGAGAAGAATAATCCACGTAAACTTGGATTTCTCATCGATAAATGTAATGAAATATTTGAAATTATCCCGTGAAAAATAAGGTGCCGTCCAAATATCCGAATGTATCAAGTCGAAAACATTATCATAATGTGTCGTAGATAATGGAAAAACGAATCGACGATGTTTGCCAAGGACACACGCCTCACAAATAGTAAGAGACGACTTTGTATGAGGAACAAGTAACCGTAAAACATTGTGATGCGGATGTCCAAGACGATCATGCCAAATCGAATGAAAAGCAGAATCTGAGGTATAAGACGAAGCTTCAAGATAGTAAAGGTTGGCTTGTTGAAATCCTTTGCCGAAGATGACATTGGTTTCAATATCCTGAAATACAACCCCATTAGTATCAAAGAGAACTCGACAATTCGTTTCAGAAATTAATTTAGGAATAGAAAGCAAATTATTTTTGAAATCTGGAACAAACAAAGCACTTAGATTTCTGCCGAAAAGATTGACTTTGCCATGTCCTTGAATAGGACAGGCCTTACCATCTGCCACCGAAACAAATCCGTATGACCGGTGAAGCTCAGTGAACAAGCGTTTGTCACTGAACATATGCGCCAAAGCTCCTGAGTCAATCACAATTAAAGGGTCGAATAAAACAGGAGATGCTGAGAAATTACCAGAGTCTTTGTTGTTCATGGACAGCAAAAATTGTTTAAAACCCGACATCTCCTCATCAGTAAAGGTCACCGTGTTGCTAGCAGACAGTGCAGAACCGCGACGTGGAGGATTATCTCTGTATCTGGTTGGCTTCAGATGTGGGCTGAGAATCCAGCAGCGATCCTTTGTGTGTCCTGTCTTTTTGCAATAATCACAGAAGAGTCGTTTGTCGCGAGGCCCTTTCGACACAACAGGAAATTTGTTGGGCTGATGGACAGATTCATCCTGCTTGCGAGAGTAATGCGCCAGTTCTGTATTTCCTGGAAACAAATGTCTACCACCTTCTTCGCGTTTTATTAGCATACATACCTCATCAAATTTCGGAAGTGATGTTTGACGAAGAAAGTGATACACCAGATCGTTATAGCTGGCATCCAGGGTTAAGAGCATGGCAAAGACTTTGTCTTCTTCATGTCTGGCATTCAGAATCTTCTGATCAGTGGTTGGTGGGCGAATTTCATCGAGTTCGTTCCAAAGGGAACAAAATTCCCCCTGAATTACAGTGAATTGTTCACCATTTTGCTGGAGTTGTGAAATCTTCTTCTTGAGTTCATAGATTCGGCTGATATTAGAGATATTTCCGTAGGTGTTTTTGAGAGCATTCCATAACGCTTGTGCCGAGTCCAGAGCAATGAAGGACTGCAGAACAGTCTTTTCGAGTGAGCCCTGCAGAATTACTAGTGCCAACTGATCATCTTGGTACCATTTCTCTGTGTCTATGACAGGAGTTTGCTGCGGCAGATCTGGACGAGGCAGACCTTGTTGGCCATCAGTGTTGGTATCGACAGTGTTGTCGGAAGTGTCGCCTTCTGCAGCACCAACTTGAGGGGCTGGGGTCGAGACTTCTTTGGGAACAATGTGGTTCCATAATCCACGGCTGCTGAGTATTGCTTTCGCTGCTTTGCTCCAATAAAAGTAATTGTCGCCGTTTAGGGTTATCGGGATTGGTTTCATGGTGATATCCATGGTGTCCCGAAACAAATACAGAAGACAGAAATCTGTAAATATGAAAGACAGCGGAAGAATAAAGAAACAGAGAGATATCAAGCCTAGAGAGCTCTGATACCATGAAGAAAACTTGGAAGAAAAGTATTTCTCTCATATATTCAGACCTTAGATAATATACAATATATATACAAGAAACCTAGAAAGATGAAAATGGAAAGTATACAATTACAGGATACATGAATATATGTAATATTGGTGTATGAATGCTAGAGGGAAAGTTGCTGATATGATCTCCATATGTTCTGCATTCTCCAACGGTTGTCAATTTGATGATGACTTTCCATATTGGTTGCTTTGCTGATTGGTGACTTCTTCTGTTGTTGCTCCATGCTCCAAACTCGTCTCTAGCTCATTTAGTCCGCTAACAGTCACAACACGTCGATACAGCTGAAAATTGTAGCATGACTCATGAGGCAGCTATGATTTTCTCCGGCAGTCATCGGAAGGCGAGCCACATAGCTTGAAGATTTTGTGCTACCGTTCCACCTGCGAAAACCCACATGGGTTCAGAGAAAGACTACTAATCACCTCAAAGAATCACACAGTCAACAGAAATATAAAACTTCGAAAATAAAACAAGAAATTCAAAGCAAGAATTGCTCAGATGATGAACAAAGAGAACATTTTTTCATATCAAGGGACTCTAGCCTACCGGGCATCTGCATATAGTTCAGCAAGAATGCAGCCTGTACTCCATAAATCTACTACAACACCATTGTGAGTTGCTCCGAGCAAAAGTTCGGGTGGTCGGTACCAAAGAGTAACCACACGGCTTGTCAAAGGCAGAGTTTGACGAGGATCGAAGAAACAAGCCAGGCCAAAGTCAGCAATCTTTAGAACTCCATTATTATCTATCAGAAGGTTGGAGTCCTTTATGTCCCCATGCAATACACCAAGGGTGTGCCAATGATCAAGGCCATGTAAAAGTTGCTGCAACATTTGACCTGCACAAGAACAGATCAAAACAAAAGAGAAAAAAAACAAAACCAAGCCTCAGAGATTTGCTGTGATAAGGCAGCAAGGTAGAGCTAGGTCAAGAAACATGTTAAGTACGCTTGCGTTCTGGACAATGTTTTCACTTCCCTCTTAAACGCAAACGATCTTCTGGTGTGTGTTCTCTAAACTCCAATTCACAGTTGTTGTCAGAAAACAACGTTTCCAATTCTGAAAATTTGTTTCCTATACCCAAAAAACAAAATCTACCGTAACCTCAGACCAAGGCGGAAGAGTGTCCTCCTGAGCAGAACGAAGATATGAACAGGAAAGTATCATTGTCAACCACTTCAGGAAACGACACTGTATCTGTGTTTCTGAACATGAACGACAGTACTAGCATCAGCAATACCTTGTGGTACACGCAAACCTGCTTTTAACAAGAAGTTCACTGGCAATGGCTATATGGGTTTTCTTGAAATGTTTTGTATGAAGAATTACTTACCTCGTTAGTTTCCGACCCCGTGGGCTGTGGGTATGTATATACCAATCTGATACTTATAATCCTACAAAGTTATGGATTGCAGAAACGATGTTTCAGATTCAGACACGAAATGATACCGAAAGAGCAACTCATTGTTCTGTTACCTTAACATTGGGTGGCCCATGAATGAGTGAAGGGGAGTTTCGTTAAACCTAGAAGCAGCCATGGATAGATCTTCGAGTCCCAGATCTTCAGAGGCGGTAAATATCTGAGGCACATGAACTGGGACAGGGTATATCCTCTTCAGGGCTCATATAACAGCTCGTTTCCTCGGCCAATATCCGCTTGGAAAGATTGCTTCTTTTCTTCTTCTAGCAAAATATTCAGGCCCAATTGAAAATCGTCTCATCGAGCTACCAATCGTAAACTGTGTCGATTTGCCCCATCAGACACAGAATCCGAACAGGAGGCGGATTCGATGAGCAAAACATGTTACAACCTCCACATTTGTCTGAAAATGCGCAAACATTCGAGCACATACACGGGATCGTTCAGGTTTATCCAACCGACCTCTCAAGCTAACGTCATCACATTCCAAGTTTCTGAAAAAATGGCGAATCCCCGAGTCATCTTCAAGAGATTTGTGTACTAGTAGGAAGAACGTTTCTGACATGATCAACATGAGATGAAGATTTATCAAACTCCTACCTGATCAGGTGAACACGTGAAGGAGGGATTGAAGTCAGTGTTGCTGTCTCAAACCCTAGAATGAGATTCTGATGAACCCTCCTCCATTAAAATCATCCACCAAAAGCACACCCAACTAACCGATGATGATTCCTCCGGATTCCCCATAACTTCCACCGCAACTATTTCGGTTTCAACAGCTAATTTCCACCCCGTCTCTCGCCGGAGAAGCCGAAGCCGCGAAATCACCCACCGTATCCGGCAAGATACTGCAGAAGGGAAGACAGAAGAAGAAGAAGAAGGAGAAGGAGAACAAGAAGAAGAAGAATGAAAATTAGGGTTTTAGAGAAGAGGAAAACCGTAGCTCAGTCCCGATAACCGGCGATTCCATATAGAGAGAGAGAGAGTTTCCTTTTTTCTCACCCAAAAGAAAGAACAAGAAAATGGCAACAACCGGCGATTTCAATTTTCCGGCGACAAGAGATTTTAGATTTGAATTTCATTTTTCCGTTGGGAAGAGATTTGAATTTCGTCAAGAGAAAAGGAAAAAATGTAGAGAGAGAAGTATGTTCAAAGCATATAAAGGCATGAACAGTAGGCAACCAAGCCCATTCTCTCTCACTGTTCATCTCTCGCTCCCGCTCCCTCCATCTCTCTCTCTCTCTCTCTCTCTCTCGATCACTGTCGCTGTTCTTCTCTCGCGCGCTCTCTCTCTCTCTGTCGAACACCGTCACCTTCGTCTCTCGCTGTCGCTCGAACACTTCCACTGTTCCCCTCTCTCGTCTGAGAATTTGGAGATGGGAGGGACCAAGAGGAAGATTCCCATGGAGCGAATCGAGAAGAAGGAGAGCAGATCAGTCGCATTCTCCAAGAGACGGGAAGGGCTCTTCCGGAAAGCCTCTGAGCTCTGCCGTCTCTGCGATGCCCACATCGCCATTTTAGTCACTCCTCCTTCCGCCAACTCCAACGTCTCCTTCTACTCCTTCGGCCACTCCTCCGTCGACGATGTCGTCGATGCCTTCCTCCACAACCGACCTCCGACATCGTCCCATGATCACGCCTTGTCCAAGAACAGGGATCGCTTGGCGGGAAAGAAACCCAGTTCGGGACTAGGGTTTCGCTGGGAGGAGGATGGGTTCGAGGAAACGGCTAACACGCGGGATTTAGAGGTCGCCATCGACGAGATCTCCGAGCTCATGAACATTGTGAAACGCCGACTGGACGACAAGATGAACGAGACACCTCGCCTCGCGGAGACGACGAATCTTGCAGAGCCATCGGTTCTGGGTTTGGAAAGCGACGGCGGAAAGCGCGATGATTCTCTTGTCGGAAACCTTGCGCCGCAAGTTTCAGACCAACCCATAATGGCGATTTCTGACATGGGTTTTCAGGAATTGGGAGAAGGACCAACGATGGAAGGAGTTGTTCCGCTCTCTGACAAAGAGTTCCAAGATATCATAGATACCATTAATTTTGACGATATTGCCCCTGACTTCTGCTTTTGATTTTTGTATGTAAGAAATTGGATTCGTTGCAATAACCCACTTTTGTAAATATATGGATAATGGATTCTTCAGCTTTTTTTCCCACAATTTTAGAACTTTGTTGTGAATACAGATATAGAAATACAAACAAATAACAATCTGTCTTCTTTTATTTCCGGACCAAACATTACTTCTTCTTTAAAGAAACACACGAGTGACAGAAAATCTTCATTAGTGAAAGAGGAAAAGGATACTGATGAAATTACATAGAACCAAATCCAAACGGTAGATTAAGGCCAGGCTCATAAACACAAGAACATACTCTCTTTGTCATCATCATCATCTTAAATCAACGAATGCATATTGATCCGATCTTTCTTTTACTTCCCCTGGAACAAAGCTTTCGGGTTAAAACAATGCAGAAAGAAGGAAACCATCCGTGAAATGCAAACCCTTCTCTGGAATTTTCCCAGAAACAGATCATTCACCCCGACCCAGTTTCCGTTATCTTTAACCACTTTTCTCGGAGACGAGTCACCGGCCTGAGGTGAATAACGGATCGGCCGGCATAGTTTCATCTGCCTGAAGCCTTCTGACTCTGGCCTTATCGATCCGAGCCCTTCTTACAGCTTCTTGGATATGGCGATCATGGTCTTTCAGCATCTGTTCCATGTTGCCTGAAGGAACCACCAATGGCCCCGAATAGTGAATCTTGTGGCCTTTCGATCCATATCCGAGCTGAAACGAAATCAGAACGAGGGAAAGAATCAATAATCAAGAACCTCGGCAGTAACTTCTCTCGTTCATCTGCCAAGAACCCATAACCGTCAAGGGAAGGGACCTTAGTTGGAAAGAAACTTACAAGAATCGGATCTTTCTTCTTGTTGCTTCTGCCCTCATCCCTCTGGTTAGGTTCTGCAGAGATTTCGGCGGCCTCCTTGAAGGATCCCGAGAGACGAGTTTCTTGTTGTGAAGGCATCGCTGAATAATCAGATGTCATTGAAGCTTTGCGGGAATCATCGTAGTTTCTGCCACCCTTAGCTGAAGCGGACCTACGAGCCACCAGAGGACCTGAATGCGAAGAAACCCTTTTATGGGGATTCCCCCGAGAATCCGCGCTAGGTTCCAGGGCTTGTGACTGCCTCGGTGGATCGATTGGGAATCCGGAAGCAACTTCTTCAGGATGCGGGTTAAACTTTTCGCTCCGGCTTCTTGAATTAGACTGGCTCTGTCTTTTCTGCAGGTACATTTATGCAAGATAAATGATCGAAGCTAATTCTCAAAAATATAAAAGCACGAAAGAATCACAAATCCAGACAGAAGTTGACCTGCATTGATGCAGCTAATTCTGCATTGGCATCAGGAGCTGGAACAGCCCGGGATTCCTTCATTCCTCTCCTTTCTTGTTGTTTATGATCCTTGTTTCCTCCCGCCGCTTGCCTATCAGTCAGAGAGATGAATACGTTAATAAACTCGGAAGCCTTTCAAAAAAAAATATCCCCCTTCAAAACTGGAAAGAAAGCCAGATAAATTCAGATATACACCTTCTAGCTTCCTCATCTCGCATTCTTGCATCGAGCTCTTTGCAGGGATGATATTTAGGCAAGCTTGAAGGGTCACATGGAAAGGGTTTAGTTGTGAAGAACTATAGAACAAAAAAACGATATTTTTAAGTTAGGAAAGATTTGACCAGGATGCAGCCAAAATCAGCATAGAACTCGCAATCATATACCTCACTCTGGAGTGCAGAGGCAGCGGTTCCACGATCATCGGGATTGACAGAAAGAAGGGTTTCGAGAAGGGATAAAGCCGGCTCGGGAAACTCCTTAAATGTCTCGGACACAACACGTCGATATGGCTGTTGAGGTTTGAAAATTGTAGCATGAGGCAGCTTTGATTTTCTCCAGTAGTCATCGGAAGGTGAGCCACATAGCTTGAAGATTTTGTGCAACTGTTCCACCTGCAAAAACCCACATGGGTTTAGAGAAAGACTACTTATCACCTCAGAGAATCAAAGATTTACGTAGATGATGAACAAAAAAAACATCTTTTTTATATATAGGAACTACAAATCTACCTCGGTTCTTCCCGGCATAATGGGTTTGCCTGCATATAGTTCAGCAAGAATGCAACCTGTACTCCATAAATCTACCGCAGCACCATAGTGAGTTGCTCCGAGCAAAAGTTCGGGTGGTCGGTACCAAAGAGTAACCACACGGCTTGTCAAAGGATGAGTTTGATGAGGATCGAAGAAACTAGCCAGGCCAAAGTCAGCAATCTTTAGAACTCCATTATTATCTATTAGAAGGTTGGAGCCCTTTATGTCCCGATGCAATACACCACGAGTGTGACAATGATCAAGGCCATGTAAAAGTTGCTGCATGTAACATTTGACCTATGCAAGAACAGATAGAAAGAAAAAAAAAACAAGCCTCAGAGATTAGGTAGAGCTAGGTCAAGAAACATGTTAAGTAGGGTACAGATATAATTATATAGATACAAGAATAATCATGTTTAATGAAAATGAAAAGTACCTGTGATTCAGAAAATTTAATTGCTGGATGTGAGGCTAAGCCAGCTAAATCATGTTCCATGTACTCAAAAACAAGATACAAGCTGCATGACATTCTTGATGTGACTAAACCCTCTAGCTTTATGACATTTGGATGATCAAGCCAGCGCAATATGTGGATTTCTCTTGCCATAAATCGCACGCTTTCAGGCTCCAAATTATCAAACCTGACTTTCTTCAGAGCCACTATCTTCTTCTGGTCCAGGTCACGAGCTCGATATACGTTACTGTAAGTCCCCTGACCAATCTGCATAGAACGAATAAAATGCAGCATCAGACACAAATGCCAATTGACAAGTCATTCAGTCTAGCGGTAGTATTAGAACCATTAGCATTTTTCTTCTCGGTAGAGTAGAAAGAGCCTGCAGTGTGCAAGTCATGACCCAGTTCAAAAGCCAAAAAATCGCAGCTACAGGTTCCAAAATACAAATCTCACCAAATCCATTTACGATGAAAAGTTGGAAGGATGGTTCTACAAATGGGACTATACCAAGTGAATGAAATACTTCATGAATCGGGAAGACTACTAACGGATCAAAACCTAGCCATAGTTTCAGCAAAATGAAGTGAAACTAAGCATATTTGACCAAACAAATTGGAGTTAGAAACTTAGCGAAATGCAATGAAATGAATGTATATGGAGAAAGGAGCATACTTTATCCAACTTTTCGAAAGAATCTGCACGCCGGGGGACCCAACCCCTGATAGCCTCTCCGGCCACGGCTGCCAACCATGGAGGCCAGCCTGCTGCTACATGTTCTCCTTCAGTTGCCTTTGGTACACTACCCATTGCAGGGTGTGAAGAAGCAATATTCCCCATCCTCACTTTCTTCCTGTTTAAACTCTCCCCATGTAAATGCATCATAGGATTAGCTTGCTTATCACTCAACACTGGTCTAACGCCGATAACATCGGACCGCTCCTTCGTTCTGAGAGATTCTTCTCTTCTTGACGAAGCAACTGTTCGAGAAACCCTAAACTCAGAGGCGGATTTGTTGGATAGACGATCTCTCGGGCTCTCCTTGCTATCTTCGATAGCAGAGGGCTTGCAGCAAATACAACCCATTGTCCAAATTCACCACTTCTCTCAGGAAAAAATCACTCCACTAAAATAAAAGATGCTTCTTCAGAGGTTTTCCATCTTGTTCCTCTTTGTCCAAAACCATCCTCATCATAAAATTTCATCCACAGCCACTGAACGAACCACGTGTAAGCAGCGCCATCAACAATCAAGCCCAAATTTTCAGAAATTAAACAAAGCTAATGAAATTCAGGAACCCTAGAACCCTGACTAACCCAGAAAAGCCAAAATCTATATTTTCCTCTGCCTGCAAAATCATACAATGTACCCAGATCAAGAAATGGACTCGGGCATTGATAACAACATGAACAGAAAACACCCAATATACAAAATCTCTAATTTCCCGAAGAAATGAAAATCTCAGAGCATAAAGCTAGTACCTTTAGAGAGAATTTTGCAACGAGACGACCACACCGCCTGAATCAAAAGGGAAATCGTTTGTTTTGCCCAAAGATTGGCGAAAAAGATGGAAACTTTTTGGAAAATTTCCGGTAGAAACGAAGAATGTTGAAGGGGTTTTACAGTGTCTGCGTAAAGGGATGGATCTAGGGCTTAGAGATTTTGGAGACGCATGTGTTGCAGCAGGAGTGGTAAAATTTTGCAGAAATGAAATATCGCAGAAAGTGGGAAAAAAAAAACGAAACAAAACAAGAAAACGAATTAAATAAGTACATTTAATAAAAAAAAGTATTCCCCGTATATTGGTAGTTCAGTTAATATTCCACAATCGCTTAAATACTTTTTAATTATCATCTAAGCTTTATTATATGGTATAAATATTATTATTATTATTTATGATAGTTGCAGAATTATTAATTTGGTATAAAATATTATTATTATTAATATTATTGAAGTTCGCACACGCGAAAGACATTCTTGACGTGAATCGTAAACAACACGCGCTCTTGAAGAGGAATGTAAGAATAATAATATGAAATCATTTATTGTATAATCTCTCTCTCTATATATATCCAATATAAATTTACCAAATTAAATTTTTTTGTCGTAAAACAAATCAAATAAATAATCATTATATATATTTAAAAATTTGTTAAATTATTTTTATCGAATCCTCAATAATTATTTATATTTTTAAAACGTTTATCAATATGTCATAGAATTTGCATTTTCTAATTGAAATATTAAACAAATGAATTATATGTAGTTGAGTTGTTGATCATATACGATTAAAAAAACTAGTTATAGGGAAA